TTAATTTTGGTAAGTTCATTCAAAAATTCAATGTTCAATATCGGTTTACATTCCTTATGGAAATCAATGGATAAGCTTCAAAACGAAAATATAAAATGTATAATCAATTTGTATATACCATCTTCACATAAATATAAATTACGTACCCTCATTAATTCGGTCAAACATTAAAATCTGACTTTCAAAAATAATACTGACCAACACAATAATTCAACAAGATACTCAGACAATCTAAAAGTAATGAGAATGAAAACAAATGAAGGAAAAAGTTCGATTTACACACATCGGAAAAGTCTAGGGATATTTTTAAAAATGGCAATATTTTTTTTTTATCGCTTTAGGGAAAAAAAAGTTGACGGATGATTATTAAACCAATGTAACTTACAACAAAATTTATTAAATGCGCATATAAGCAAAACTAAAAAAAAATATGGCTCTTCTTTGGCACCCCGAAAAAAAATCATAATACAAAAAAAATTGGAATCAGTTCAAAGTATGGCCTCCACGCTGGTTTATTACGGCCCTACATCTATCGTGCATCGACAAAATGAGATTGTCAATGTCTTGTTGAGGTACATTTGTCCATTCAGCGAATAAAAGCTCTCTCAATTGAAACTTTGTGTGAATGTTTCCCATATGCGGAGTAATTCTTCGTTGAAGCATGTCCCACACATGCTCGATGGGATTCAGGTCCGGTGATTGTGCTGGCCATGGCAATACATCAACTCCTTCGTTGGTGAGCCAGTCAGTCAGTAGACGCGCGACATGTGAACGAGCATTATCGTGCATTAGGTGGAAGTTTTCACCAACAGCACCAGCAAACGGACGGACGATAGGTAGAAGAATGGTGTCGAGGTACTATCGAGCTGTGAGGGAGCGATTTGGAAAAACGAGATCGGTTCTGCCGCCGATCATAATTCCGCCCCATAGCATTACTGTACCACCTCTGTATGTGTGGACTTCCTGGACGTGTCTCAAACGTTCATTATTTCCAAGTCGTCTCCACAGTCTTACTCGACGAGAATCTGGATGAAATCCAAATCTGGATTCGTCTGTAAACAAAACTGTGGCCTATTCATTTGCATCCCAGTTTTGATGTTCTTGACACCACTCTAATCTTCTACCGCGATTGCCTCTCGACAAAGGTGGACATCTAAGTGGCCTTCTGTTGTGGAGATCTGCTTCATGCAGTCGATTTCTGACAGTATCATGACCAATGGTTACCTGGTGCGTCTGCTGCAACACGTTAACCAATTCAGGTGCTGTGATTGTCGGTTGTCTTCTTGCGGTCAAGACCAAAAATCGGTCTTGAACTGCAGTTGTAGCGCGTCCCCGCCCTGGATGTTGTTCGGCTGGACTGCCAGTTTCACGGAAATGCCGCCACAATCGACTGATAACACTTTGGGAGATCCCCAAACGAAGAGCTACATCATTTTGTCGTATGCCACCTTGAAGAAGCCCTACAGCTCTATTCATCTCAGCCAATAGTAAGTGATGGCGTTCCATGTTAAAGCACAATATTTTCACTTTGATTGCTGAGCAAGAACTGCATAGAATGTACAAACTCGACACTTTCAGATTATTCATTTTAGCCGAAAACCTACAGTTTGTAAAAAACTTGATAAAAGATTAGTTACCGTTTTTGCAGGCTTTGTTCAACCCATAGAAATCTACAGGGTGGTCGAGTGTACCAATTTAATCGAAATTAAACGACCTATTACATTTATTTTTATGATATTTAGTATGTTATAAAAATATCCCTAGACTTTTCCGATGTGTGTATTATAAAGGTATTAAGTTTTCAAATGAGCTACCAAAATGCTTCAAAACACTTTAATAAACAAAATTTTCGAATGAATTCGAAAAACGTGTATTGCTTTGGAACTGTATATATAATTATTCCTTAATTTATTCACTTATTTATTCTCTGATATGTATATTCATGTGTACAATGTTGATAGTCATGTTTTTCTGTATGGAGAGTTCTTGTCTCAAGTGCGGTATCTATGTTTATTCTGTGGGCCGTTTTTATTGTTTGTAAAATTTCATTAATGACATGTCTGATATTTAAAATGATCCACGAGACAAATAAAATGAATATATTATATGAAACTTAGGTGTTAATATGTCAGCTGTTGCTGAAAGAATGTAAACTTTGGCCCTGGTATGCAGGTTTCTCCCCTTACGTTTCGTTTACAACGACGGTAGGTATTATAAAAGATGATAGAATCAATCGATGCTGCGTTCTACTTGTAACATATAACTATGAGAACAATACTCCAATCATCTAGAAGAACAATTCGTTCGGGCCAGTCACGACACCCTACACAGTAGATTAATGGACTGACACCTCTCAGAAAACAACTACTCCCCTGGCTAATACAACGAAGGGCGTTGGATTATATCCGACAGGTGTCAGTGCAGGATTCTTCACAGAAGTTATTCTTGCATATGCTGTTGGCGATACAACTGCCGCAATAGAATTTCAATTATTGGAACACACTTGCAGACCAGTTTCGGGCTGTTTGGCTACTCGTCAGTGCAAGGTACTGTATATCTGTTAAAATCTGTTTTTCCGTTAACCAGCTGTCGCACCCCTACGAACGACAACCCTCAGAAGTCGAAACTTGTGCGAGCTAAGTATTAACGAGGTCTTACCTTTTAACGTGTGATTCCTGCACTGACACCTGTCGGATATAATCCAACGCCCTTCGTGGTATTAGCCAGGGGAGTAGTTGTTTTTTTGACAGGTGTCAGTCCATTAACCTACTGTGTAGGGTGTCGAGACTGACCTGAACGAATTTTTCTTTAAGATGATTTGATTTATAGCCAGTCTTAAGTATGCCCACTGACTATACGTGAAAAACAATACTCCAGTCATTTTAGTAAGTTTACACTCGTATAAAATTGTTTTTAACGTCATAAAAGTTGTCTCAAAACCTACATTGCAAAATATGCAGTATCCACTTTCGCAAATGGAATATACAGAGTGTTTGTTTCTCGTATTATATCCATGAATATCTTTGTTCAATTCGAAAAACGACCTTTTTCCAAAAATATAAACAGCTATATCAAAAATATACATACATGGAAGAGGTAAAAAATCTGTTTAAAATCTGTTTTTCCGTTAACCAGCTGTCGTACCCCTACGAACGACAACCCTCAGAAGCCGAAACTTGTGCGAGCTAAGGATTAACGAGGTCTTACCTTTTAACGTGTGATTCCTAACACGGGTTGGACGATAGCAATTGAAGATCGATCGTTCAGACTAGGGCTTGAACCACCGACCAACGGCAGTCAATTCGAGTGAGTGAACAAATCACCCACGCTGAACCGCTTGGCTACCGACCGACCTTCCTTAAATTTTCAAAATAGGTTTACATGAATCCCTAAATGGAATATGTACCAAGGAACGCAATATACGTTTTTGACTGAGGTGAAATTTTCCCAGAGACATATACCATACCTGAGCCTTGAGTCAATTTGAGTGTAGCAAATTGCCAAAAACTGTTGAGAAAATATCGAAGATTCAAGAGAAGAAAATTCAGGGAATTCAATTTGTCCATTAGTTCATTACAATGGATTTTCCAACTTGAAAATTCATCTAAATATACCCCAAGAAATCTGACAGATTCTTGAATGTTTGTCAAAATTGTCCGATTTACTTTGAGATCTAGATTTTGTATTGGCTTCTTACGATTGTGAAACGTACTACCACTGTTTTTTCCGTATTGAAAAATAAAGAACGTTCATTGAAAAAATTTTATATACCATTCATTTAGCATTTAGTAAAGGTGAAGACAACACCAATGGTAAATCATCTGCGTAGGTAGAGTGATGACAACTTTTTAAAATGCAATCAATCTGATTGATGTACAAAATAAACAACACGGGTCCCAAGATGGAACCTTGTAGGACACCCATATCTACATTTAGATTTTCTGTTATATTTTGTATTATTAAAGTTTATTCATAAAGATATATATTACCGTATCGTATAGATACTATCCATAATGCCCTAACCAAGTTTGAACTTAATAATAAACATGATTGAAATGTTTGTGAGCTGCTACACTTATTGGTAGAATATTTGATAGCAGCACAGTGTGCACAGGTTTATTCAGCTTTGTTGACTTGACATATTATTCTGCATAATGATCGTCCACAGATTCTGGAGCATTATAGACTGCCAGCAAGATTTGAATTCCATTCTCAAATAATCTTTGAAGCGGATAGTTTTCTTCTTCAAATGCTGCTGCAAGTTGATAATTATTGAAAGAAATCATTATTTATAATGTAATGGTTGATAAGGAATGAAAATTATTAATAATTATTTATTTTTCAATGATTATTAAACTTTATATGGCTTAGTTGACCGTAAATGTTGCTCTACCGCGAGCCCTCCACCCTCAAAGTATAAAACAATTTTTGTAACGAAAGTTGTAGGGAATTTAATTCTCTCTAACGGTATCAATACAAATAACAAAAAACCCATAAGAAACGAGATATTTGCAAAAAAAATGTGCAAAAAAATCGATTTTTATGACCTTTGACCTTAAAATTCTATAGTTGCCTACACCCTACCATATGAAGGTTTTAGACAACTTTAAGGATGTCAAAATACAATTTTATACGAGTTTGTAGCTGAGTATCTCAAATTTTCAAGTAAACTTACTAAGATGACTGGACTATTGTTTTCATGACGAGTAGAACACAGCATCCGTTGCCTCTATCATCTTTTAGAATACCTACCGTCGTTGTAAACGAAACGGAAGGAAGGATATCTGCAAACCAGGGCCGGAGTTTACATTCTTTGGAAATCCAAATTTCTCACAAGGGCTATTTAAAAAAATTAGGATTAAACATTGCCTTTGATATCTACCGCAGTTGTAGATGAAACTTTGAAGACACCCGAAGACAACGATCTACTTGAACGCGAAAAAACATTTGTCAGAATTAGGTTTTCACATTCTCGAAATTGATTATAACAATGTCCGCAGGAAAAGTTCCCGCTCTCCTGGATGGATCGAAAATAATAATCGAAAGCCTGGACATCTGCGAGTACATCGAAGAAACGTACCCAGAACGCCCTCTGTACCCCTCCGATCCCGAAACGAAGAACAAAGACAAGGATTTGATTCAGAAAATCGGGCCAGCTTCTTCGCTGTATTTGAAATGTTGCTTCACGAAAGACGAAAAGACATCGGCAGAGGAGTGGGTGAAGTTATTTGTAGACGCTCTCAAAGATTTTGAAGATGAACTTGGAAAGAGGGGTACCAAGTTTTTTGGAGGAGAAACACCCGGAATGGTATGTGTTGCTAGTATGCATCTCAGTAAGCTTATCAGTCTTCAAGAATTTTACCTATTTGTCAGATTAAATCAAGTTTATTCATCACCTAAGTATTATTAATGTATCATCTGAGCTTATTGGACTAGTTACAACAAAACCTACAAGCTATAACGATACAAATAAAATAAGTTTGAATTGAAAGAACAAACAACTATTTTCAGGTCATAAATGGAAGAACAATTATAACAGCACTGATAAAATTTTATTTTATTGTTCAATATAGTTGCTTTCGAGGCAATGAAACGATAATAGCGGTCATACAATTTTTCGATACCATTTTTATAGTATGATTGATCTTTAGCCTCAAAATAGGCCTCAGTTTCGACGAGTATCTCTTCAACGGAGCTGAACTTCTTTCCAGCGGGCATTCTCTTGAGGTCTGAGAACAGGAAAAAATCGCTGGGGGTCAGATCTGGAGAATACGGCGGATGTGGAAGCAATTCAAAGTTCAATTCATGCAATTTTGCCATTGATTTGTGATACTATAAATCATTTACATGACATGAGATGAGTCCAATGGTAGTCATAAAGATAGGATAAAGTTTGGATAGTTTGGTATTTACACATAATAACATTAAGTAGGTAATCAATGTAGCATGTACAAACAAATATAAATCAAGAGCTATATGCCAATTATTCACAAAACTTCTTGAAGATATAAAATGCCAAGAGCTGTATGCCAACTATTCAGAAAACTTGTTGAAAATATAAAATGAAATGTACATATAAAACATATTAAAAGTGTGGAAATTTTAGTTATTGAAGCCTTGATATTGTTTGTTCAGATTCCAAAATATTCTATTGTTTCAGTTGGACTTCATGTTGTGGCCTTGGGCTGAACGTTCTGGCTGTGTTTCCTTAAAACTTGGTAAAACACTGCCGCTTGGCGAGGACGATTTGCCTAGGCTTAGAATGTGGAAAACGGAAATGAAAAAATACCCGGTTTGTGCTGAGCTTTTCATCAGTTCAGAAAGATTTTGGAAAGTAGCACAGTGCAAGCTGTTAGGTCGTGAACCACCATTTGATGAAGCCTAAAAATAAACGTTGTTAGTATAGATAATTGGACTATCTTTTATTTCATGTAGCTTTTTTCATCTACAAACATTGTACAAGTTACAAAACGTATTTTTTCCAAATCAGACTGATTATATTTGTCTTTTTTCGAGGAATTATTGATCAAGGTTTTCAAGGATCCATCAATTTTTTCCAGGATTTTGTTTTCAATTTAAAAAATTCAACTCTTTTGAAACAATTAAATTTTGACTTTCATTTAGAATTTTTGATACCCGAATTGATGTTAGGGATGATTATTTCAAGTGTGTAAGAAGACATCATAAGGAATATGTTATAAAAAATTCTGGAAAACCCACCGGAAAACAGAAAAAAAAATAGGGAAAAATAAGAAAACATAAGAAACTCGTACCTAACAAAAAATATAACATTAATTTTGATAACCAAAGCTTAATATGCATGGAATCTAATTTTTGACAGTATGGTTTGACTGCTCTTTGTATCGACTTTTTATTTTCTTCTAGTTGTGGCTTTTGAGCTCTTCTATACATCAAAAACCCAGTCTTTGAATATATTAATTTGTTGAATATTTTTACTACTTTTTCATTTATCTCTCTTTTAGTATTCTTAAGGTGAATTTCCATCAAATGCAATCGCTTGCGACTAGTTTCGTTTTCAAAAACAGAAACAAAAAACTTGTTTTTAGTTCCTAAAACAAACACGAAACTCAAATTCCTTCAGAATATAGATGCATTTCAATTTTCATCCACACTCTTATGTTTTCGTTTATTCTTATCTACTCAATGTCAATATATTGTTATTAGATCTCCTTTTCTTCAATAAGTATTGCGGTGTTATACAGGATTCTTTCAATTTTCCACCAAGATAATGCTTTAATCTTATCTCTGTCAACATTTTTTCTATATCTATCACTCTCTACGTTAAATATTGGGTAACAATGACTGACGAAATAAGTTTATACAGTATCACATATAAAGTCCGCAGCATATGGACGTTTTTTTCTATTGATATAGATTTATCAAAAATTTAATTCTGCAATAAATTTGTGTTACAATGTCGAAGAATCTTTAGATTTGAATGTATAAGCTGCTTTTTCTTCAGTTTGTGTGACTAGTCTGATAAATATTGTACCAGTAATGTATATGTTATATGTGTATGATATTTTAATGATGAATAAATTCTATTCTACCGATTCGAACGAATCGGCAACAACAAAAACGAACTTCTGGAGATGCATTTATTTTTTTCCTGGTAACAGGCCAATGCAAGTATTTTCTGGGCAAGATATGTCTTCGGAGTTTCGTACTCATCAAAATTATGACATTTGAATCATGTTTTGCTGAATCGCTAGAGAGAAAGATTCGAAAAATTAAAAAAATCGAAAAAAGTCGACAGTAGAGATTTCTAATGTGGAGAAAAGGTATAAATTCGAAATCTGTGAAACTTTTTTCTTTGGCACAACCGATTTTTTGACTACTATCGAAAAAAAGTCAAATTCTACAGTTTTAAAGTAGCATGTGATGAAAAGAAAGATGATGTATACTTTACTCATTTATCAAACACAGATTTACTGCATAATAAAATTTTGAACAGATCTGCTGACTTTATGTGTGACACTGTAGAAATTTAGTAGATATAATATACCACCTCTACAATATATCTCACGTCCTTCATTTTTTTAATGTTTTCAAAAACATAACCACCAGATTTTTTCTGGTCAACAAAAGTGAATACATGTTTTGTGTTTTTTGGAACTAGTTTTATGCTGGTTTCGAAGATATTTTGGCTCCAAAAGAATTTATGATGCACTGTTTGGAACCTTTGGTGTAGTAATGAATATTACTGGAGTTCTTTCCCAACACCAAATCGTTATTTTTAACACCTTGACTCGATTTGGTGTTGGGAAAGAACTCCAGTAATATTCCAAAAGAATTAATGTTTTATCAGAATTTTTTAGGAATGCATCATCGATGTCCAAATAATTTGTATTGTGGGATGATAGAGCAGAACTAATTCACTACAAAAGTTTTATTTTGGTTGTTTGCTAATAGATCTTGCACAAATGCACCTCGATTGTTCGTTTATCTTTATAACAACAAATAATGAAATTTTCATAAAATTGTATAACATGTCACGCGAAGATCATAACATTATTGCATATTTGTTAGGTGTGTTCCAAAATTAGAAGAGTTGTCATTTAATACGCAACAATAGGTAGGTGTTCAAATTATATTTTATCAATCAATTAATTCTCACCACATATTTTTACTAGATCCCTTCAAATCTCGAGGAAAAATAATTGAATTAGTAATATTGTATACCTATATAGTAAATTTATTTATTTTTTTATTTCATATCGTGTCGAGCAGTGTATGTTTTGGGTTTATTCTATGCCAAAACTTCCAGTATTCTTTTAATTTATTCCTGAAATCGATAAAAATCAAATGAAAATTTCTAATAGTCTCTATCTTACTATTGTTGATTTTTTAAAATGGAATGTCGAGTAGAAGAAACTTTTAGCTTCAAGTTACGTTAGGAAATAGCATTGTAATTTTGTAACGCCTACCATTCTAGCGACCGTGAAGACTTTGCAAAGTGTAAGTTTTCACAAGCTTTACTTTTTTCGGTACATTCACAAATAGTCCAATCAATCTAGACTTCGGTGAATATAAAAGGTCGGATGTTATGTTTCTAAATTTTAATTGGTGTCTTGGTACCCCAATATAGGGACAACTTTTGGGGGCCTAAAAACCTCGAAATTTTGGGACTTTTTTCAGTTTTTCGCTTTTACAGAAACCTAGAAAGGGCTTTGAACAGTTGAGAAAGAGCGTTGAATCGTCTGTTGAAATACTTGGTATTAGCCTATTGATTTTTTTGAGGGAAAATTCATGCTCTATTACTTTCATAGTATGACTTTTTTCTATTGGAGTGAATGTTTTGAAGTTACAGCTCTTCAAAGTGGCGGAAATGGATTTTTCGAAAAAGTTAAGAAAAAATGACGTTTTTCAACGACCAATTGCTCCCAGTCGGCTGAACTTATTTTAATGTTCCATAGAGCATTCGACGCAGAATTTAATTCACTTAAATGTAGAAACAACTATTTTTTCTGTGGGAGGTTTCCTCAACGAGTTGTGAACAAAAAATTGTAAAAGGGGCAGTTTTTAGGCCCCCAAAACGTGCCCCGACAAAAAATTTTGTTGGATTCGCTTAGTTTCCCATTATTGGGGTGCCAAGACACCAATTAAACTTTAGACACGTAATTTTGTAGGCAAACACCCCTTCTAATGTCTAGATTGACTGAACTAAAAACGATTCAACTTGTTTGGAATAGACGACACGTTACAACCAAAAGTGAACAACCAAGCAAAATCATAATTTCTCCAATTACAGCAACCCTTTTGGAAAATGAAATTCAATACTTTGAAACTGGATATTTTATGTTACGTGGTACTTTTCCTAGTATGCACTGGACTGGTCCTATTCGTGGACGTTATCCTAGTCAACTTAGACAACTTAAAATCGAACATAACGATGCAGAATCAACCTATCAACAAAAAATCCTTCGATTTCCTCATTGAGACAGTAGGATGCAGAATACCATTCATGAAACCGTATGACAACAGCATTAAACAATTCATAACAGCCCCGAAAATGCCGATATGCAACAAAGGGATTCCACCACTGTTTCAAGCGAACCTCACGACGATCTTTCTCGACAACTCTTCTTTGCCCGCTTACAATATTTCGGATCAAAACCAGTTGCAGTGCTGTTACAAGGCGTTTTGGAGGAAAGAGCCTAAGGAAGATGAGAACGACAACAAAATCCAGTACTCCGACAGTTGCTATGGTTTCAATAACAGCATCAAGATAGAGGAGGAATTTATCGAAGTTAGCTGTAAGTACAGAAACGCCGGCATATACAGAGACATGTTCTCGTTCGTTCCTCTGAAGAACACGACCAATACCACCAGACCAAAGACCCCGAGCGTTCTTGTTGTAGGCCTGGACGCTGTCTCTAGATTGAACCTTCATCGACAAATGCCGCAGACCGTCGGGGTTTTACAGACAATGGGAGCGGTGGAACTCCTCGGTTACAACAAAGTTGGCGACAACACATTCCCTAACCTCATCCCAGTCCTCACTGGGATGACTGAGGAAGAACTTGTAGCCTCCTGCTGGCCCAGTTCTGAACACCATTTCGACAACTGCTCTTTCGTCTGGAAGGAGTACAAGAGAAGGGGATACACGACGGCCTATGGGGAGGACGCTTCGTGGATGGGCTTATTTAATTACGAGAGGAGAGGGTTTCAGAAGCAGACTGTCGATTACGCTTATAATTACTTCAACAGGTGGAGCGAGGAGAAAATAGGAAACTCGCACAATATGAACGTCAATGAGTGTGTCGGGGGAAGATTAGTTTACAGGTAATCGGTTGAGTTTTTATATTATGCAAAAGCCAGTTTCTGGCTCCTCGAACCATACACATTTTTCCATGTCACGATTTTAGTCTAGAAGTTTCTGAATCTTTCCATAGATGTGTTGGAGTGTTCGGGAAGAAATTGTTGAATAAAATTGGATTCATAATATTAATATTGAACTGTTAATCTTTACAAATAAATTGAACGATAATAGATTTTTTCAAAAGTAGAAAATCTAGATTATTCATCACTTGGTAGCTTTCTAAGATTGAATTACGGTGAATGCTTTTATTTTCAAATAGCATTGTTGTTTCTCGAAATTAGACACTTGCCACACAGACACATGATATCATCGATGTTTCAGAAAACAGAAAAGGCAGAAAATCACCCTGGAAACGATTTAAAATATTTCCAAAGAACTTCAGCAAAGTCGACATTATTGTCAAGAAGCATAAGGCATATCCATTTCGAATATTAGATTCAAATGTCTCATGTACTTTTGCTCAATTACAGCATTAAAAATGTAAATAAATTTCATTTAAAAAAGAGACACATAATTCTACTGTACAAAATACTTTTGGTCGACAGGAATATTGGAAATATAAATATCCATTTTTTTTTAATTGCCTTGAAAAACCGCGAACTATTTCCATATCCTATCACTTCGTTTCAATTGAATCGTCAAAATAAATATTTTCGATAACAATGAATTATTATAATTGTTTTTTCTGCTTTCAAACCTCCTTTTATCTCTAAACTAAATTTGCTTAAATCCATTTAATATTTACAGAGATTTGCTAGAGTATATCAATAAATTCGCGACAGTCATGGACCTAAATAACCTCCCCTACTTCGGTTTCTTCTGGGGAGCCAGCATTTCTCACGATTACCTCAATCAGCCCAAACTGGCTGATCCTATCTACAGGTCCTTCTTCAGGAGCCTCAAGGATGAAGGACACCTGGAAAACACCGTTTTGATCTTCATGAGCGACCACGGCATTAGATGGGGTGGAATACGCCAAACCTTCCAAGGGCGGATGGAAGAGAGACTGCCCTTCGTCTTTATCCTCCTGCCTGACTGGTACAAGAGCCAGCAACCGATGGGGTACCGGAACCTCAGAAAGAATTCGAAAAGGCTTACCACTCCTTTCGACTTGCACGAAACCTTGGTGGATTTGACAGATCCATACGAGTTGAAGGAAGATTCATGGAACAGAAAAGAGCAGCATAGAGGCGTCAGTCTCTTCAGGTCGATAAGAGAGAACAGAACTTGCGGCGAGGCAGGAATCGTGCCCCATTGGTGCACCTGCCAGCGAAGCACCGAAATCGGCGTTGATATGCCAGAAGTGCTGAAAGCGGCATCCTTTGCTGTGGAGAACATGAACCAGCAGTTAGTAGGCTATGCCCAGTGCTCCCGCTTGAGGCTAGATCTTGTGCTCAATGCTCGGTTGATGACGTATGACGGAAAAATAACTGAAGATGATGATAAAACCGAAGACTACATGCTGACGGTGAGGACTTTACCAGGAGAAGGTGTTTTTGAAGTTACTCTGAGATATAACACCAACTTGACGGGTAACTATTCCATTGTCGGTACGATAAGTAGACTGAATCTTTACGGGAAGCAGAGTTCTTGTATAACGGACTTTCATTTGAAACTCTATTGTTTCTGTAAAAGTTTTCTTCGGTTATAAAATATATGTCTTTGTGCATGAAACAATAAAATCAAGAAGTTGTTGGTTTCCTAATGTTTCATTTCATTATTATATTAGTAGGGTTTGTTTGAAAGTGGTTGACAAGAAGTTGTTGGTTTCCTAATGTTTTACTTTATTATTATATTAGTAGGGTTTGTTTGAAGGTGGCTGACAATGTTTCGTGGTGTATTTCATCAGTTACGACTTCCATTGTTTGATATAATATAAATTGATTTGAAATCCCTGAAATTACTAGGATGCTGTGTACGAAACTGCTCCTTTCAACTGAAGGACGAACTCTTTACGCAAGATGAGGGACTGGCAATGGGATCGCCACTTTCACAGGTTATAGCCAATATATATAAGGAGTGGTTTGAAACTCTGGCCATTGAAGAAGCCCCGAGTCTGGTTGAGATACGTCGCCGACACCTTCATAATTTGGAACCATGGGAATGCAAAACTAGACACTTTCCTGAAGCACATCAACAACGTAAGTCCTTCCGAATTTAGACGTATTGGTGAAGAGGACCGACACTAAATGGGAAACATCTGTATATCGAAAACCCACTTACACAGGACAGTATCTGAACTAGAAATCCAACCATCATCAATCGACTAAGAGAGGAATCATCAAGACCCTACTAGACCGTGGCTTCGGGCTCTGAATACAAAGAAAGGTCTCGAAAGGGAACTAGGCATCATCAAAAACGACCTTCAACGGAATGGCTACTCCAGAGTGATGGTAGAACAGGCTTTAGCTAGAAGATAGCAAGAGTTCCACAAGGAAGAGAAGCCGCCACAACCTACATCCGAGGATTATCGGAAAGAATAAGAAGGATGGGGTCCAAGTATAACATCAGGACCTGCTTCAGATAGGGGAACACTATCCGTAGCAGCCTCACGAAAACCAGGCCACCAAATGCGGACTGCGATTCCAAGAATTGCATTTACTGGATACCCTGCGAGTGCGGAGAATAATACATCGGTGAAACTAAGAGGCCATTGAAATATCGCATTGCTGAGCACAAGAAACACACACAGCTAGGAAAAACTAGCAAATCCGGAATAGCAGAGCATGTTTGGATTCATCAACATAACATCAAGTGGGCTCAAGCTGAAATCATCCACAGAGGAACACTGGTTTAGGAGAAAATTCAAAGAAGCCGCCTATATGTTGTCCAACAACGCATTTAGTCAAGCTAGCGTAGAGATGCGTAACATATGGAAACCTCTAATCAAGCGAAAAACGACCAACCCCCGCCAAACGGTTATCTCCCGCTAAAACCAATGAAGCAGAGAGAAGGAAGAGGGGATAGGTGAAAGCATTTGAATGACCTATAAATAGTCAGCTCACGGAGGAATCAGTCCAGTCATCAACCGAAGACGATTGTGGATACTAACAATCGAAACTTCATGACGTAACTTGGTTTGGAAGCTTTTAATTTTTCATTTTTGTTAATAATTTTTAATTTTCAGCTTTTATTAAAACAAGGATAAAAATTAAAACAGAAACAGCGCTCCGGGGCGACTTCATTGATTCCAGTGGCGCATTTGCTTTTTCAGCTGCAGGAAAACCCGGAAAAACCTGCAGCACCACATCATCTGAAGATCTTGATCTAACAATGTCCTCTCTCTTATAAAACAAAATGTAGGGTGTCTTCTGCAGCTGAAAAAGCAAATGCGCCACTGGAATCAATGAAGTCGCCCCAGAGCGCCAATTGATTTTTATCGTTGTTTTTATTTTATTTTTATCGTTGTTTTAATAAAATCTTTTATTAATATTTCAATTTTTTATTTTTTTGGTTGTTGCTTTATGGTGGTATGGTTGTTGCTTTATTTTTTTGTTATTTCTTTGTAATTTCAGTTTTTCGTTTAATAAAATTGTTATTTTTCGGTTAATCTTCCTAATTTTTTTCAGGGATTTCAAATCAATTTATATTATATTAGACAATGGAAGTCCGAACTGATGAAATATATTAGGGTATTAATTTCTTTTGAAAAAATCCCAAACTTGAAATTCACGTATAATATTCAACTTTTTCTGCTTCCTAAAAGAATTTTCACAACAATTAGGTGTATAATTGATTGCATTAAAATTGAACCAGAATGATTTTAAATACTTTGAAGTTCACGAGAAACAGTCACTGAGCGAAATTTCAATTTAGAATCAAGGAGAAATTACACTGAATTTGAAGTTCAACAGAGAATTCATTAGCGGATATTTTGAAAGTAAGAATATTGAAACTAGTTTCCCGACTATTCTTTGCAATACATCACCTCTGAGTAATGCTTGTTTGTTTTGGACAAATGGAGAATCAGTTTTCTATCGATTTCCTATATGCTTTTCCACGAGTAATTTTATAACTACTTCTTATATCAATAAAAACGACAACAGTTATAAAATTTGTGACAAGTATGTTTTATAAAATTCGGCGTTACAGGGCCCCGAAGAAGAATTTGTTTAAATTCCAAACGTCGGCAAGAAAATAACCGTTTTTCAAAGATAATTCGATCCCGTTAATCAATAACCTTATATACGTCACTTGGCTCATTAGACTAATTAACTAAACATAATGTATGCTTGTACTCCTGCAACAATGGCAATAATACATATACAGTAGAATCTCACTAATCCGGCACTTCAATAGACCGATACGTCCAATAATCCGGCACCCTCTACCAGCGCCTTCCTCACTCTTCTACGCATATGCGCTCCGTCGCCACATCGTCGTCTAGTAGTCTAACCTCAAAACTTATCACGTTCACGTGCGTACGTATTTACCAGTTGTTTTAAAGTGAGAATAAGGTGTCAGTTGTTTTGAAGTGAGAATAAGGTGTATTTGAAAATTTTAAGTAAACCGAAACAAAAGATCTATTTTTTTTTAATCTGTTATCCAGTTATCCGAACATTCCAATAATCTGACACCCTCTAGTTTTTAATAGTGCCGGATTAGTAAGATATACTATATTTCTTTTAATTCATAAATGTAGTTATTATAAAGGTTATGTAGTTATATGGTCAGAATAAGGACATACTTTCAAAAGCAAACAATTTTACTATTTGATAAAATACAGCTTACTGTTATTAGAAAAAAAGGGTATCTAACAACATGAGTAACATTACTAGAAAATAGATATTTCCAAATAAAATATTAAAATAATCATCTCTCCCAACTACCTGGTGAATGCCTGACGGAAAACAACTACTTCCCCGGCTAATACCACGCTGGATATTGTATTATATCCAATATACATTTATGCAAGATTCCTCGTTGAGATTTGTCTTGCAGATGTTTCATCGTTCATCTAGCAGCAGGACCGTGCTGAAATTATTCGAGTAGATCACCTACAGACCAGTTTCGAGGTATTACCTCTCATCAGTGCAGGACTGATCCAAAGTGCAAAGTGCCTGGGACTCGATTAAATTCAACGTGGCTCAACTGTGTGTATGAAGCCTTCGTCTAAGAGAAAAATTGTTAACTACTAACAGCTCCATTTCGTGAACAAAGAGTAACCAAGAGTAAAAGTAAAAAATTGTACAATCCATAAGAAAAAACTCAAAATGAAACTACCGGCTAACCCATGTAAGTGAACCTTTATTAGTAAATCAAACTAAGGACTATGTTAGGAGCGTAACATGAATAGGCGTGTAGTATAAATGTATATGTCAAAATAAAGATGGCAAAGAATATAGCTCCGGAAAGATCTAGCAGTTCCAGAACGATATTCCTGGCCTCACTAAACCTACAAATGAAAAAAATCTTTCCTCTCGTGACGTGAGACTGTTCTACCAGACACTTTTGAAGCAAAACAACATCAGTATAAAACAAAGTGAAAAACAACAATGTTATAATGAAAGTAAATCAGTTGATGAGCCCCTTGGCCTTGAAGAGGTCGCGCATCAGCCCCTTCAAGTACTTGATCTCACGCTCCAGGTCAGAGACCTTGTCCCCCAACTCAGCCTTGTGGTTCTGGAGCTGTTTTTCCTCCGTGAGGATCTCCTCGACCTGAGCCTTCTTCTTCATACGGTACCGCGTGGCGGCGTTCTTGTTCTGCTCTTTCTTGCGCACGCGCTTCTCTTCTGGTGCCCCCTTCGAGTGGGCGCGCGCGCGCTTTCGCGACGGCTTCGGCGCCTCGTCGGCGACGCTGTCCACTGCGTCCGGCACCCACTCGGGGTCGTCCGAGGAGGAGGAGCAGTCGCCAAAGTTGCTGCAGCTGCTACTGCTGCCTCCCGGAGAACCGGGGCTACTACTCCACTGCATGGTTTCGACGCGGGAGCGCAACAGCTCCTCGACAACGGCGAGTTCGTGGGCAATATCAGGCTGTGGAGTCGCCACCGGCGGGTAGTTCAGTTCGACGATGTCGGTGCCTGCAAATTAAATAATAAAGGTACACCATAAGGACCAGAACTAAAACCACAGTTCAGTGTCCACAATTCATTGAAAATATCTCACCTATGGTGTAGTTCTCGAGGAACTGCTTTTCAGGTACGGAAAATACGACAACTTTGTTGTCAGCTTCGACTACCGAATAATTTAGGAGTGGTTCGAGAGTGGTGAGCAGTGGTGGCGCCTGGCCGGGGGGACTTTGAGGGGGCGTCAGTGTGCCTTGGGGTGGCTTCGTGTTGGTGTGTGCCAGTTCCACGACGTCGTACATGGTTTGGAATTCTTGGAGGAGATACTGAGTTTCGTCGGGGTATTCGGATTTCAGGTTTTGTACGGGAACTGGTACAGCGCGCGGGGGCTCCACTTCATCGAGGATGGTTGGCAGGATTTTCTCATCGAGGAGGAATGATTCTGGACAGAGAAAAATCAAAATGAGAATGTTAGATTTCCTTAAATGAATGTTCATTGGAAAGAGAAATGAATTAGTAACATTTTTGGCGTAAATTGATAGCATTTCATTTTCATGTCGGAAATATTCATCTCATACATAAAAAATATGATCGAAATATTTTATTTGATCATTTAACACTCTTTTTTTTAACGGTTTTGAATGTTTCTGGGGTAATGCTAGCACAAGTTTCGGTAATTCTGTCCCTATGTTCCCGTATTATGTAACATAAACTTTTGATTTTGATACAGAGCCAAATTAAGAAAATCAGGAGGAGTCAAATTAGGCAATCTAGCAGGTAATTCCAACTGACCGCGTTTACCAATCCACATGCCTGGGTATTTCTGATCCCACCAATTCCTTACAGACTTGAAAAATGTGGCCGTTGGACACCCATCTTCTACATGACTCCATTCAAGTGTTTATGAGGTAAGAAATTTTGAAATTCGGAAGCCGATGTTTATAATGATGAAACACAATTCTCTATATAGCACATGTGGCCATATTCATTCAAAATGGCGGCGTAGGAGCCATTTTCATCGAATTCCATATGGCGGCACTATGACGTCCATCTACAATTTAATGTAGGCAAAAAACAACGACGAATATCGCCCAGTTTTCGAAAAAAAAAATCAAAATTTAAAATTTTTTCACTAAACCAGGTATTTTTCCCAAACTTTTTTACTTCATTTATTTCAAAAGTATAAAGAGGAAGTGATATTTTTTGAAACTTGACATAGAAGTGTTTTGTATGAGTTGTGAGTTGATAACTACTTATTCATTTTTTCACTGACACAGAAAAATGAACAGCATAGTATCTTTGACACTTTTTAGTAGTGAAAACGGTAAACTTTGATGTAATATTAAACTTTGATGCAATATTGAACTATGATGTAATATATATAAAAAAAATATAACTCCTTCAATTCAAGTAATATATCACTTTTATATGACTGAGGATACACCACAAAAACACACTTTTGTCTATTTTCCACTATATTTATTTATTGTTGACCGGTTTCGGCTCTTACACCATTTTCAAAACTAACTGATTACATTTAAATCTGAGTAATTTATACCTATGGAAAAAACGTGGATTAGTGGAAAATTTCAATTGATGAATTTTCATTCGATAACTGGACAATATTAGCCGTTTGTTCCTTCCTATCTACATCTAGTTGTTTGACAAATTTTTTAAAAGATGACGTCATAGTGTTCTATATGAAATTTGCAGAAAATGGCTCTCACGTCGCCTTTTTTAATGGAAATGGCCAAATGTGTTATATCGTTGAAAAGAGAATTCTATGTCCGATCAACTGGTCGAAAAAAATACAGGGTTCTATTTAGAATTCTTGACTTGGGTTGTTTTCCGGTTATTTTGTATAGATTTTCAAGTGCTTTATCGTCAAAAATATCAGATTCGATGAAGTATATCTGTATTCGAAATGTCAAGTGTTTTACCTCATAATCAATTGGATGATGCCGTGTACAATAAATTTCGTTATCACCTGATATATAAACATGTTAACATTGTTTCATTGAAAATCAATTATATGTATATCAGATTCAAAAGTAATAAAACTATAGTTGAAATTATGATAATCGAGAGTGTTTGAAGCTGATATGTATGTATGTACTGATTACAATATTTGTTATGTAAAACGAGACAAGTCAGAGTTTTGTTGTGTTATGAATCACACGTTAAAAGGTAAGACTTCGTTAGTCCTTAGCTCGCATAAGTTTCTCAACTTCTGAGAGTTGTTGTTCGTATGGGGGCGACAGCTGATTAACGGAAAAACAGATTTTAAACAGATTTTTTAAACAGAATAATAAGATTAGTCTGGTGCAGCAGGACAATAAATACGAACAGACAAGAGATAACAAGCTTGAGTATAATTGGTAATATTCGTCCAGCTTTATAATGAAACCTTTGTGCTTTACAGATGATTTGGAGATTCTAGACAGAATGTGACGTACCACCAAATAGGTATAATTCCAAATATTTAATGCAAATGAAAGTTCATGCTCAACTTCAATGCAACACTTGAAAATATACAATTTTAATTGAATTTTATGCTGGACCATTTGGCAAGATTTTTAAATTGTAGCAAAATAATTCAAGTTCATTTTAGTCTTTTCAATTGAAATTATTTGTTTCCTGAATAGAATTTTCTTTCGGAATACAACATTTGTTGAAAGAAAATAATATTTTTATTTGAAACAAGTTTTCAATTTTCTTGATTTTTCGAAAGACAAAAGAACAAAATAAAATCACAAATGTATAAGAGATAACAAAATTATTCATTTATAGTTGATGAAAAAATATCCTGAAGAATTAAATAAAAAAGTTGAAACCTAGCTGTTAAATTTTCATCATCTCAAATCATCAAGCATTTAAAAAGTTTCAATGTGCGATATAAGTGAAATATTTTGGTTTTCAGAGTCTAGAAAAATCTAATCAACGCCAATTTCATTCAAATTGTTGTTCAAGAGTACATAACCATGTGTACGAGTATTTCTATTGATTTGTTTTTCTCACTGATTAATTAATAGTTGTGTAAATTGAGAAATGGAAAATGTTTCATATTAATAAAGAATAATAGTTTCTGTCGACAGAGCGTACACAAACTTGAGAGAAAGATAAATATAGTTTTAAAAAACACGTTTTTAAAGAACATCGAACTGAAAAGTTAAAAATATATATTTTTTTAAATAAGCTTAAAACAATAACGAACGAAAAATACTATACGTTATTGTTTTAAGCTTATTTAAAAAAAATATTTTTTTAACTTTTTAGTTCGTTGTTCTTTAAAAGCGTTTTTTTAGTTTTCTTAAACTATATTTATTTATTTTGATTTTCTTTCGAACAACCTATCAAGAAATATCAAAAATGTTACGTACAGCGCCATCTGCCCGGGAATAGATCAAGAAAGTTACGTAGAGCGTCATCTGCCCGCGAATAGATCAAGCAATAATGCCGATAATTCTGTCAATACAGATCCCAAGCTTGAAAGTTACAAACAAACGTACATACATACATACAAACAAACATACATACAAACAAACAGACATACTTACAGGTGAAGTTAATATAAAGCGTGTAATAAAAATAATAAAAACCAAGTTACTTCACGACGTTTCGATTGTTAGTATCCACAATCGTTTATACCTAAACTCTAGTGAAATAGTCATCAGTTAGGTAGGTCACTTGATTCAAATTGTTATTATTTCGATTGATTCATTTCAAACTAATGATCGGATCACGACCCCATTAACCTGCAAAAATTAGAGATAATCCGGTGAATCGACCGATAGACGCCCTTTGTACGATCATTTTTTCGTAAATGCGAGATACGTAATAAAAAAAAAGATCTAATCGCAATGGCCCAATTTCGATCGTTTTGTTTATTTAAATCGCTTAGAAACAAGTGAAAGTAATATGCGGGCGTCCTTGTCGGAGTTTCATACAAAATATGCGATTAAACCATGATCAGGAAGCCGATCTACTCGTTAATCATTCACGCAAAGGCGACTCCGTTTTGAACGGCTGTTCTTGTTCTGTGTAGATTTTTTAATTACTCTGGAGAGGGAAGTGAAATGTCTCGTCGATTACACGCCTATTACACGTGATGAATGACATTCGTATACCTGCTATAAATTTCATTGAAAATTTGTTACGTTCAACGTGAAAAGTAGAAAAACAAAATTTATAAATTTTTAACCTAAACAGTATTGTACGCCTGAAGATGCTATCGTATATAGCGAAACACCTGTCGAGGTTTTGTAAATTTTTAAATGGAAAGCTCACATTATGGTGTTTTTTGGAATACGTTGTATACTATTGTCATTTATAATTTATTTCCATTTATAGTGAAAATAGTTTGTTTTCTGAACAAATAAGCGTTCTCAAATTTTCTCATTCTTTTTTAAAACTAACCGGTTCCCATATTTCGATACTTTTATGTCTACGTCAACTTCATGTGTGACATATCGGTAGTTCTAGAAGAAACTCTGCGAAACATTTTGGAAGATATATATCTATAAAGTAAGACAGAACACGCAGTTCATGCATGATGAATCACGTGCAAATTTTCCTTTTATCGCTCGCAAATATATCGATAAAACTGAACAATGGCAGTTAAGGTTTCCAGACTTGAATCCTTTGGATTTTTTGTTATGGTGCTATCTCTAATTACGTGTTTCTAAGAAATCGGAGTTAGGTGAGAACGACTCAAGAAAAATACTTATTGATAGTGCAGTTATGGTAAAAGCACTGATTATTTTGTGAAATAGTGACGAGAAAAGATTCTATTCATTAATTTGAGAAACAAAATTTTTCTGCAATTTTGAACCGAACTTTCTGAAAATAAAATATATATCAACAGCGATAATTTTTGGATTCTCCAACTCCGTACAAAAGCATTTATCAGTATTCAAGTGGAAATAACCGACAGATGAAAAAGGTAAAAGTTGCAAGAGAACCAATTTTATACTTCAAAGAATATTTAACGCAGAGGTTAATAGAGGTTAAATAGATTGGCTATGGTGGATAAAAGAACCGCACGAAGGATTATCTGGGATACATAGAGTGACCGAAAAGTTTTTCATAAATAACTATATGCGACAATTAATTCTGATCAATTTCTGCTTCGATTAAGGAGAATAATAACAAAAAAACAATAGTACTCACATCGTTAGTAACATCTGTCAAATTATATTTTTTTGAATTCAAAAATTGGGTTAGTTGGTGATAAAAAATAATTACGAGGAACAGTTTTGATGCAATTTTCAATTCATATGCAAAAGTTCAGCTGCCGAATTGCATCAATGTTAGGTAACTTCATGAAACACCTACTTTCGAAAAACTAAAGCAAATTCAAATCCAAGATAGAGTGGATGTAAACATTGACATGCCCTACGCACATATTGAAAATCCCAAAAATTGGCCAGGGCCGTATTCAGA